CCAGCTGCTGCCACCCAGGAAGAAAGCCTTTGTGAGATAAAGAGGGTCCTGGGGAGGGAGATGTCTGAGGACTCAGCATTGCAGGGGTGGTGGAGAGGCTCTGGGGTCTTTGCTATTTGGGTCTGAACTTCTCACTATAGACCCTGGAAATGACACCACTCCCTGATTCTCTGTCCACACCTGGGGCAATGTAGGAAACCAGGGGTCAGATTCATCCCTAGACTCTGCTCAGGAGACACTCTGTTTGTTCTTCTGACAGATGCTTCGGTGAAGGACACACAGCCTGAGAATGGTGCCAAGGTGGACAGTTGGGTGAGGTTTCTGTCCCTATCTGCAGTGCTAAGAACTTAGGGCCTAGTTTAGTCCAGAGAGCATTTTTTGTTCTCCTCAGAAGCAACCACAGCTAATCCCTTACCTCTCTTCTGCAAGTACAACCTGCCTCACTCTCTCCTGGTTTTCCAGGGATCATGTGTCCCATCGATCCTGTCCCCTTTCTGGCTCCTTGGCATCTGTCTGATTGTCTTCTGAGGGACAGCCTGGATGGGAAAGCCCACAGAAACATTTATGGAACTAGCAGCTGCAGGCAGGAACCAAAGGGACTTGGGCAGAAACGTGGGGTTTTGTATTGTATGTGTAGATGTTTTACAAGCATGTATGTCTCTGAACCACATGCCTGCATGGTGCTCCCAGGGGCCAGAAGAGAGTGCCATGTACCCTGGAATGAGAGTTACATATGAATGCAGGTTACCTTGTGGGTTCTGGGAACCAAACCTCGATCCTCTGCAGTAGTAGCCATTGCTCTTAATCACAGAGCCATCTCTCCAGCAACCAGAAATGTGTATCCAGGAAGATGGGCTGTGTGAGTACAGCCAAGACAGCAAGGTTTAGAATGTCAGGATAAGAGGCCAGAAATGTAGGGAGGAAGCCCCAGAAGATCCCATCAGGGATGCTGTCATCTAAATGGGTCACTCTGGCCTCACTGTGGAAAACTGGCCAGAGATACCCAGGGGAACAGGGAGACACTGTCTGTCCCTCACTACTGCCCTGCTACAGAGATCAGCTGAAGAAGACCCCCAGGGAGAGACATATGCCCAGGTGAAAGGCTCCAGGCTCAGAAGGGCAGGAGCTGTCCTACCCTCTGTCATGTCAGGAGAAGTCCTGGACACCAAAGATGGACAAGCAGAAAATGACAGAGAGATGGACAGTCAGGTGAGTCCTGTCCTCCCCAGGACTTCAGCATCCCCCAAGCCAAGCATAACCCTCCTCTCACTCTCTCTTCCACTCCAGGCTGCTGAATCTGAGGAGCCTCAGGATGTGACCTATGCCCAGCTGTGCACCAGGTCACTCAGACAGGGGACAGCTGCACCTCCTCCCTCCCAGGCAGAGGAGGCCCCAGAGGAGTCCACTGTATATGCTGCTCTGGCAGTCACTCAACAAGGCTCTGTTCCCAGTAACAAGGAACAATGACCCTCTACCTGCCAGGGGACCTAACAGAGACCTCCAAGGGATTCTGTGAACTTTTGGGAACACGACTGCATTTTAACTAACATCATACATTTTGGAAATAAAGCAGATTTCTCAATAATCAAGTGAATTGAGAAACTAAATAGAAGGAAATGGTTTCACACTGAGTACTAATTTTAATGACATCACTCATTAAAGCCATGAAATGAGAAAATTTACAGGCTTGGTTGCACAGATCCATAATCCTAACCCCAGGGAGGCTGAGGCAGGAGAATTGCCTTTGTTTTGTGGTTATCTTGGCATACCTAGTGAATTTCATGCCAGCCTGAGCTGCAGAGTGAGGCATGTTTCACACATTACCCACCAAAGGCCAGGGTGGAGGTACACACCTGAAATCCCAGCACTTTGAAGGTGTGGACAGGAGGATCAAGAAGTCAAGGTCATCTTCACCTTCATAGCACAGGAGTAAGAGTACAGCCTAGAACACATGTGACACTGTTTTAAAATAAATAAGCCAGGCATGGTGACACAAGCCTTCAATCTCAGCACTTAGGAGGTAGAGACAGGCAGGTCTCTCTGAGTCTGAGGCCAGCTAGCCTAATAGTGAGTTTTAATTATCCAGAGCTACATAGAGAAACCTTGTCTCGAAGAATAAATAAATAAAATAGGGCCAGTGAGATGGCTTGGCCAGTAAAGGTACTTGCCACCAAGCCTGACATCCTAAGTTCAATCAGCAGGAATGGGGGAAGGAGAAAACTGACTCCCACAACTTGTTATCTGACCTCCACCTAAGTTCCTGGTGTCCTCACCACACCCAAGAAATAAATAAAACAATTTAAAAATAAACTAATAATCATAAGTGAAAGCTGGGTATGGCGGTGTAGACCTGTGATGCCAACAAGGCTGACCTCCAACCTGCTGTCCTTCTGCCTCGGTTCCCATATGTACAGCATACATTCACTTTATTTTCTTAAAGGTTTATTGTGTTTTATGTATGTGTATGTATATGTGTTTGTGTGTTTTTATGCTGTGTGTATACAGATGCCCATGGAGGCCAGAGTGGACATTGGAGCTGGAGTTATAGGTGTTTGTTCTACAAGCCGTGAGTGCTGGGAACTGAACTCAGGTCCTCAGCAAGAGCAGTGCATGCTGTGAATCATAGAGCCACCTTTCCAGCCTCCCTAATTTGTTAAAATTGTAAATAGCAGAGCACTATGAACAATTTTATACCAACAAATTAGGAGCTGTACATAAAATAGATCCCATGACATCAATAAAAATTATTTTATTGCTCAATAAATACAAAATCTGAGTCATTTCCCACACATTGAACACACTGTCACTAGAAAAGTTCCCCTTTGGAAATTCTCTTTCTGGAAGCTGGTGATTTTTTTCCAAATGTTTGTGTATTTGAAATAATGACATGAAACTAGAGAAAGAGGAAATATAGCCCACCATAGTTCATCAGACCAGAAAATAATTTTTTAACAAAACTTGACAAAGAAAACCTAGGAAGAAAGTTCTTTCACTAGATGTGATCTCTTAAAAAAATTGATGAACCAACAACCAGGGAACCTGCATGGAACTAACCTAGACCCCCTGCATATATATTACAGCTGTGTGTATCTTGATCTTATGGGACTCCTAACAGTGAGAGCAGGGGTTATCCCTGACTCTGATGCCTGCTTTTGGGACCCATTCTTCCTACTGGATTGCCTCGTCTAGCATTAATAGAAGAGGAAGTGCCTAGTCTCACTGCAACTTTATATACAGTGGCTGGCTGATATCTATGGACGCTCTCCGTTTTCAGTAGAGAAACAGGAGGAGTGAATGCGGGGTGGGTGGGCTGGGGGGTGGAGAGGAGAGGAGGGAGAAGAAACTTTTATTGAGAAGTAAAAGCAATAAATAAGTAGCCGGGCAGTGGTTGCGCATACCTTTAATCCCAGCACTCGGGAGGCAGAGCCAGGCAGATCTTTGTGAGTTCGAGGCAAGCCTGGGCTACAGAGTGAGTTCCAGGAAAGGCGCGAAGCTACACAGGGAAACCCTGTCTCGAAAAAACTAATAAATAAATAAACAAACAAACAAAAAGTTGGAGTTATAGATAATTGTGAGCTACCACGTGGGTGCTGGGATGAACTTGGGTCCTCTGGAAGAGCAGCTAGTGTTCTTAACTGCTAAGCCATTTTTTTCCAGTTCCAATTTTTAATTTTTTTGTTTTGTTTTGTTTTGTTTGTTTTTCGAGACAGGGTTTCTCTGTGTAGCTTTGTGCCTTTCCTGGAACTCCCTCTGTAGCCTAGGCTGGCCTCGAACTCATAGAGATCCACCTGGCTCTGCCTCCCGAGTGCTGGAATTAAAGGCGTGTGCCACCACCGCCCAGCCAGTAACTTATTTTTAAGGACATCAGAATCACACTGGTGGTTTGGTTTTCTCTTTTCTTTGTTTTAATATTAGTTTGTTTTGCTTTTTAATATTAGTTTCAAAAACAGCGAGTCGCTTAAAATTTTAAAAATTGCTAGGTCTGGTGGCACAGTCCTGACCTGACATCACAGCAACATTTTGCCAACTGAGTCATCTTTACCTTTGAATGCTTGTTTTAACTTTGTAGATCTTTCACCTCCTTGGCTAGGTTTATTGCAAGGCTTAATCCATGTATTTTTAATTTCACACTGAGGCTACTATGGACTCTCCCTGATTTATAACCAAGGAGAACTGTTATCTCTTAAATTCTAAGTGGGGATGGGAGATCACCTTTCCAGTTCTCTGGCAGACTCCAGGGTGGGCCAGAGGCGAACTTTCAAATTTCTATAGCATCTGAGACCAAACTTGATAATTACCAAGTCTTGACTCCCACCACTGCTCACACCTATTCCACTGCCACCCTACATTATAGAGAAGCTGTGTAGCAGTAAGAGGGACATGCTGAGTGGGCAAATGTGGACAAGCAATGTGGATGAGTATAGATGGTTAAGTGGTTTCTGGTGTTAAGGATGGGAAGACTCATACTAAATGGTCTTGGTCAAGTCTAGTAGCAGTTGGTCTGCAAAAGGATCTTTGTGCCAGGTCCTGCTAGCTTACTTCTATGCCCTACACCAATAAACATGCTGGCTTGAGGCCACTGAGAAGGAGCTTGTTTTGGAAGGTGACTGCTTCCAGACAATCCCAAATTCCTGCAGAGCTTACTCCAAGTTACCTAACCATCAGCCATGTCCTCTGGATAGGGAGGGCCCTGTCACTTGCATTACCTTTGAGATTCTACGCACAATTTACAGTAAGGTCTTTTCTTGCATTGAATCTGGCCACTTAACTGACAGAATCCTCTTCTCAATATAGTAGCAAAGTAGCTGTCCTTACTTGACAGTTGCTTTTCAATTTCAAGCCTGTTCTCACTTCTTCAGAGATCAAACCACATCCTCTCATCTGACCCAAACTTCCCAGAAAGGCAAAACAGAAAATGAGGAACCCAGCCTCCCTCCTGACCATGAGTACAAAACATAGCTAAATATTTCTTAAGCAGCCCTGGGCAACGGAGTTCACTAGCTTATTTCCTGCTTACCACATCTTGAGATATAACTTATAAACAGAAGCCACTTTGCAAGCTTACAACCAGTCAACCTCACTGGAGACCTATTTTAGCTACAGATAGCTGGGTTGGGATTTTATTTTCTGCAATAGCCCACTAAATAAGGACCAACTACGCACAGCATAGGTAACAGAAAAGCATCTGGTCAACCAACTTTCTCCTCTCCTATGGACATTTTCAAACAAGCTGTATAGTGGCCTGGCCTACATCTAACAGGGCTTCTTCCCAGTACAGAGACTGTTCACAGCAGAGGCACACCAATAAACCAAGTGTTAATTCTGCTTTATTAGTCAACCGGAAAACTAGACAATCCTCCAGTCTAGGGAGGCATTAACTTAATCCTCTTCTTCATCATCACCAGCTCCAGCACCACCCTGGCCCTTCTTGGCATTCTTCCTCTTCACTCGGCCTGGGCGGCCACCACCATAAGGAGAACGAAGGGAGAAATCAATGTGCTTCTGGGAGTCCAGACGAACAATGAAGGATGGAATGTTCACCACCTGCTTGCGGACCCTGAATAGGAAGAACAGGTTAGGGGACAAGGTGAGAGGTGGAACCAATTGGTCCTGTCCTAGACAACAGGTTGACGGGCACTCTTGACCTCATAGACTCTTATAGGTAGCCAAATGGTTTATGATGAGTACTAATCCTCAAACCACCACCTCAGACAACAATAGTACATCTCTGCCCATAGATAGAGCTGGTAAGGAAGAAATAAGTTACAGAAAGGGGAAAGGTATGCAATTTTCACTCATTTAACTAGTCTTTGCACCAGTCACTTTTAAGGTTGATTATCAACTGGCAAATTAACAAACAGGAGTATAGCAATGAGGTCTGGGTTGGAACTCTTACAGCAAGCTCCAATGACAGCTTTGCCCCCCACGAACACCAACTCAATCCTCTCTCCGAGAGAGCACCAAGAGCTATTACCTGTCCAGCTGCTTGCATGCCTGGCAGAGAACTTCGCAAGGTGTACGGCTTGAGCCGCAGTGACACCTGCGCTGGGCTATGGGGGAGACAAAGCTGTCCCCAATTCCCCCGTAAGCTTTCATTCTGAACCCTCAGGGTAAGCTCAGATTTGTCAGCTCCGAAGGCTACACGGGAGACAGGATGGCAGCTTAGCAAAGGAAACCAACAGTGCAGACTGGGTAAGTAAGGCTTTCATCAGGCCTAGCTTCAGCTTACCTGATATGACGCTGACGGATGAGCACACGGGCATGGTGAATAGATTTAGCCAGACCCAGCTTAAAGACCTGGGTCTGCAGCCGCCTCTCCAAGAAATCCTCAATCTTCAGGCCCAGGATGTAATCCAGCTTCATCTTGCCCTCATCCAGCACCCCAATACGAACAAGTCGCCTCAGCAGAGCATTGCCTGGGGGGGGATTATAACTCAAATCAGTCCTGACCTCACACTCAGAGGCCCCTCAACCTCAGAGCTCCCGTAAGGCAAGTTCCTACAGCTTTCACCCATTTTGTATTTTGCAAGGAGCATGGGGAAAAAAGAATGTCAGTGATATGCCTAACAACCTTTCTTCTAAGAGCTGCAGGCTCAAGACCCTGACATGGGCACTGAGTCTCCCTTTAAACAACAGGCATTATACCACAGGGTTACAGCCTTTCATTCAACCTTCATCACTAAGGGAGGAGCTTTAACATTCAACTTAAGACAGGTGGTGGTGGTAGCGGCGGCGGCGGACGCCTTTAATCCCAGCACACGGGAGGCAGAGGCAGATGGATCACTGTGAGTTCAAAGCCAGCTTTGTCTACAGTGTTCCAGGACAGGCTCCAAAGCTAGAGACTCTGTCTCAAAAACCAAACACTCTGTCTCAACACACAAACAAAAACAAAACAAAGAGAGGCTTCCCAGACAGGCTCCAAGGTACAGAGAAAACCTGTCTTGAAAAACCAAACAAAAAACCATGCTACTTTCACAAGAATCACAGTACTTGGGAGGCTAGGGTGAGCAGAGACCAAAAGATAATCTAAACTACACAGTACCAAGCCAACAATATATATAGAAACAACCCATATCTATTCCTCAGACTATTCTCCCAGGAGTTTGAAAGAAAGCTAACTGTGAAGGCCTAGTCACCTAGTAAGAAATCCTAAATATAAAGAACCAAGTTTAAAAAAAAAAATTCACCACTGATTTTCTTCCAGTATCCTAAAATACAGTCAATTTCTTATGTTTTATAAATACTTGTCAGATACAAATACAAAATATATCCCCAAAAGGAAAATATTATGCCGTTACTGTTATATAAAACATTCAGTATGAAAACAAAAAGTAAAGTGCACACTGATAAACACAAGAGCACATCCTACCACTAAACTGTTCTGTGGCCTCCATCTGACCAAGTTGACAGGCCCAAAACTCTAAAGTTAACTCGAATAGACTCCTTGTGGCACAAGCTGGTATTAAAACGTTCAATTTCTAATCTGAAATCTGACTGTCAATCAAGAGACAGGCATTTTCTGGTAGTCACTAACACATGGGAAAGTCTAGACCTGACCGATGTCAAGGCAGTGATAACTCCAAGGCATTTCTTTCCTAACCGTAGACAGAGGTTTCATTAGAAAGCGATTCCAGGGAGGCTGCCTTGACAATTTTCACTTCTGCTCATCAAGAAAACCGAAAGTTTGTATACCTGCAGCTCCCGTTCTTCTGTAACTCCAAAACATGAATCTGTTTCCAAGCCTGTGTTGAAAATTCCCCCAAGCCAAGCGACCCACACATGCAAGCCCTGTACTTTTTAGACTTCTGGTAGCTTACAGGCCAAACTGACCTACATGAGTTTCCGTCTCAAATATTCCCCCAAAGCCCAACTTGTTCAGGGTCAAACCTCCCACAATGCAGTCTAAAAGCTCAATTCAGCAACCCCGGGGGCCACCACCCATCCTTTTGAAAATGAGCCCGTATATACCTTCAAAAAGACGCCGTGGGTCCTTTTCGTCCAGCGTCAGCAGCTCCCGGGCGGCCTTGCGGATCTTAGCCAGGGTAAACTTGACCCTCCAGACCTCACGCTTGTTCCGGAGCCCATACTCTCCTGCACGCGCGTGGGAAGGGAAGGACAGGGCCAGAGCCACTGAGTGACTACACTTGGCCTTAGCGACTTCAGAACACAAACCTCATCTAAACCACGATCCTCTGCGGGGATGGCGCCCAGGGCGAGCACGTGGGGGACCGACCGCATGGCTACCTGAATCTCCCACCCCCGCCCCCGATCCCCAATCCGGAATCCCACCCTGGCCACGCACCGATCAGCTTCAGTTCCTGGTCGAGACGCGATTTCTCGAAGGGTCTCCGTGGGGTCACATAAGTTTTGCGACACACCCAACTTCTGGCAACCGGCATGTTGGCTCCTCTAGGCCAGCCGCGCCTGCGCAAAGGGTCGTGTTTAAAAAAGTGTCGTTAGGGCGCATACGCAGCCAAACCCCGCGGGCCCCGCACCAACTCGGCTCTCGCGAGAACCGCCTTAGACAATTCGGAACCGAGATTTCTTTTTTTTTCCCCACCACCGTGCTGCAATGATGTCCAAGCACCTTCTTCCCGGCCCTCTCCCCTATCCGTCAGCTTCTGAACGGCTCCATCGCCTCACACCGTCCCCCCGAAAAGCTAACTAACTACATTACCCTCACGACGTTCACCGGCAAACTCACGCCCGCGACAAAAGAGAGACGCTTCCGCCGGACCGCGGTCTTATAGCAACGGCGCGCGGCCATGACGTCATCGCGCACCGCTCGCGGCTCCGCCAATCGGAAGCGGGAAAGCCATAGAGTGGAGCGGGTGGGCCAGAGCGGCGCTGCGCTGGGCGGACTTACCAGTGAGGTGGTTAGGCGGCCGCAGAGCCGACGGGACGTGCTTGCATTAATTAATTAATCCAAGGGTGAACGGGGCTGCCTTGCCGCTTCCCAGGGCAAAGGCATCACGTAACGCGCTGCAGTTGTCACTTTTTGTTTTAACAAGGGCTCTTGGGGAAGAGCTCACAGGAAACTCAGGGCAGCAGCCAAGGTTCCCCACCACGGTCTCAGTCTCGTGACAATGCCCCTATCTTGGCCATACAAATGCTAGGCTATTAGGTGTGGGCCACCGTGCTGGGCTTGTAATACTGGAATATGCATGCTGTGCCGGTTCGTTTTTGTCAGGTTGACACAAACCTAGACATACCTGGAAAGAGGAACTCTTAAAGAAGAAAATTCCCCCATCATCTTGGCCCATAAGTCTCTCCTGTTTTATTGTTTTTGAGTCAGGGTTTCCCAACAAATGACCATGCATTCCTGATCCTCCTTCCCATACTTCCCAAGTGCTGGTATTACAACCCATTTTCCTACAGATATTTCGTTTGGTTGGGGTTTGTTGTCTCTCCCTCCCTCCTCCCCCAAGGTCTTTCTGCTTAGTCCTGGTTGTCCTGGAGCTGGCAGTGTAGACCAAGCAGGCCTGAAACTCACAGATCCACCTGCCTCCCAAGTGCTGGGATTGAAAGTGTGCACCACCACGCCCGGCTTTATTTCTTTGTGGGGAAACAGGGTCTATGTACCTAGCCCAGGCTATCCTGGAACTAGGTAGACAGGCTGGCCTCAAACTCATAGGTATGATGTCCCTGAATAGCTAAGAGGGCAGGCCTGTACCACTAGGCCTAGATCAGGTATTCTTTCCTTTTATTTTAACCTGTTTGGTAGAAATTTACTTTTACATTTACATACTCAGGCAAGGATCTTGCTCATTTAGTCTGGGAGGTCAGAGTGAGGGTAGGGAACAGGTAGACAGACTATAGTTTACTTCCTGCATGTCAAATACTTAAATTCTTTTTTTTAAATTTTATGTGCATTGGTATTTTGCCCGTATGTCTGTGTGTCAAATCCCCTGGAGTTGGGAGTTACAGATAATTGTGAGCTGGGATGAACTTGGGTCCTCTGGAAGAGCAGCTAGTGCTCTTAACTGCTAAGCCATTTTTTTCCAGTTCAAATTTTTAATTTTTGTTTTGTTTTGTTTTTCGTTTTTGGAGACAGGTTTTCTCTGTGTAGCTTTGGTGCCTGTCCTAGATCTCACTCTGTAGACCAGGCTGGCTTCAAACTCACAAGAGATCTGCCTGGCTCTGCCTCCCAAGTACTGGGATTAAAGGTGTGTGCCACCACTGCCCGGCAAATTTTAATTTTTAAAAGTGATTTAATGTATACAGGTATTTTGCCTGCAGATATATACATTCCCATGTGTGAACCTAGTGTCTTCCAAGGGCCAGAAAGGGTTGGATGCCCAGAAACTGGAGTTAGAGGTGTTTGTGAGCCCTGTGTGTGCTGTGAACCAAACCCAGTTCCTTTGCAAGAACACCAAGTACTCTTAACCATCTCTCCAGCCCTTATTTATCTGCAGAAGGTCTTGCTGGTCTGGAACTTGCTATATAGACCAGGCTAGCCTTGAATTCAAAGATCCTCCTGCTTCTCCTATCTGAGCACTGGGATTCAAAGTGTATACCACCACCACACTCAGCTGTTTTTAACTATGTGTATGTGTGGGTATATGCACCTGAGTGGAGTTGCCTGTGGAGAACAGAATAGGGTGCCAAATTCCCTGAAGATGGAGTTACAGGAACTTTGTGAGCTGTCCTATATGGGTGTTTAGAACTGAACGTAGGTCCCTTGGAAAAGCTCAACTACTGAGCCATCTCTATAGCCCCAAAGGTGTAGCCCAAGCAGGCCTCAAACTCATGATCCTCCTGCCTTTGCCTCCTCAGTCTATCTTACTATACTGGTATACACCACCACAACCAGCTCATGCAACATTTTTTAGTTATAACCTTTATATGCATCTGAAACGGTTTGTAGCAATCTCAAGGGGACCAGTGAGATGGCTCAGCAGTTAAAGGTGCTTGATGGCAAGTCTGATAACCTGAGTTCGGTCCCTGAGAACCACATGGTAAAAAGAATAGAGCAGGCTTTCTCAAATTCGTCTCTGACCTCCCCATATGTTCCATGGCACATTCGTGCCCACATACACACACATGTATATATATACAATAAATAAAAAAAATCTTCAAGGCAAAACTTAGTGGGATGCAAAGAGGCAGACTGCTGAATCAGAAAGACCAAGCGTAAAGCCCCAGGCCTGGTAGTTATTATAAGTTTTGTGACCCGGAGCAAGTCATTTCCCCTTCCCCTTTCTCATCTGAATATAGGAATAAAAACTCCACATTTCAAAGATTGCTGTAAGGACTCAAAATACAAACATTTATTCAACAAATGTATTGAGAACTGCCCTCTAGAAAACAGAAAAGCCAAGTAAGAGCAGTCTCAACTCTGAACAAGCTCACAGTATGGAAACAGAAATACAAAACACAGCTACTAAGTGCCTTAAAATAGGAAAAAAACAAAACAAAACAAAACAAAACAAAAAAACTAGAACGGATGTAGTGTTCAAAACTCTGGAATCGGAACTAACCAGGCAGGGCACAAGCCTCCATGTGCAGACAAGCTGGAGTGACCATCCAGAAGGGTTCTTGCGACCCACAGCCACACCTCACCATAGCCACACCTCCCTCGGTCTCCTGCAGCTCACTGCAGGCTGGCCCACTGCAGGGAGGTGTAGACCACCTTCCCATCAGGCTGAGGGGAGCAGAGAAGCAGGGTCTTTCTAACACTGGTTCCCAGGCGGCCGGCAGAGACCAGGTCCTGAAGTGGGATGGGGTCTTCAGCAGCCCAGCACTGAGCAATGTAGTGAGCGTGGAAACGCAGCGGGTCACCTGGAGGAAAGAGACAGATGCATTAGCAGTTCCCGTCTGCAGAGGCTGGAACACTGACAAGGGGTCTTCTTCTTACTGCATTTCTGGTTCCTTTGTGTGCTGGGTATGGAACCCAGGGCCTTGTGTAGATTAAGGAAGTACTCTACCACTTCCTATTTGTTTATTTATTTAAGTATATGAGTGTTTGCTTGTCTGCATGCATGTATGTGTACCATGTGTGTGGCTGGTGCCTGCATAGACCAGAAGAGAAGACTAGGGTAACCCACAGAACTGGGGTTACAGATGGTTGGGAGCCACCATGTGAGTGCTAGGAACCAGATCTGTCTGGGTCCTCTGCAAAAGCACCATGGAGCCATCTCTCTAGCACCCATGCTAGTCTTGAACTTGCCCCGTAGCTTACACTCACCCTAACCCTGGCATTCTCATTCTCCTGTCTGAGTAGCTGGAATTAGGGGCTTCATGGACATCGCAGCAAACACTGAATATTTTGAAACACATACCCTTGGACCCATCTACTCTACTTTTGGGGGGTGGGCACGGAGTTTCTCTATATGTGGCTCTGGCTGCTCTGGAACTCACTATATAGACCAAACTGGCCTCAAACCACAGAGATCTGCGTGCCTGTTTCCCAAGCGCTAGGAATAAAGGTGTGCACTGCTACACCTGGCACACCTCCACTCTTAAGGATCTCTTCTCTTCTCTTCTCTTCTCTTCTCTTCTCTCTCTCTCTCTCTATATATATATATATACACACACACATTTATTTATTTCCTGTGCATTGGTGTTTTGCCTGAATGTATGTCTGTGTGAGGGTGTCTTGGAGTTACAGATAGTTGTGAGCTCATATGGGTGCTGGGAATTGAACCAGGGTCCTCTGGAAAAGCAGTCAATGCTCCTAACTGCTAAGCCATCTCTCCAGCCCTCTTTTTCCCTTTTTGAAACAGCTGTTTCATGTGGCCCAGGTTGGTTTTGATGGCCCAAGATGGCTTCACAATTGCCAAAAAACAGAATAGAAAGCACAGAATAATAACTTCTGTGGTACAAGGTACACCTATAAGCCTAAGCAATACATAACTATCACGATTAAAGGATATGGCGAGACATGTTTGTAACCTCAAGCACTTAGGAGGCTTAGGCTAGGGACTTCTTGAGCTTAGGAGTTCAAGGCCAACCTGGGCACCACACAGAAAGACATTTTACACACACACACACACAACACACACACCCCAAAAAAAATGAGAAAAAAAAGAAAGTCAAGATTAAAAGATAAGCCACAAGTGCTGGGGTGTAGCTCATTAGCAGACCACTTATGGAGCACAGGCAAGATCTGATCCCTAATAATGCAACCACAAAACAAAAACGGAACCAGTCTGAGACTCTACTAGGCTAAAGAAAAAACGATTTTATAACAGGATACAGCAAAAATTAAAGTCCTTTGCTAATTCCAGCACTTGGGAGGCAGGGGCAGGTGGATCTCTGAGTTCCAGGCCAGCCTGGTCTACAGAGCTAGTTCCAGGACAGCCAGGGCTACAGAGAAACTGTGTCTAAGAAAAACAAAACAAACAAACAAACAAAAAAAGTCAATACAATTTTTAAGAAAAAAAAGAGCCAGGCAGGAAAGTTTTGTGGGCCTTGTTGCAAATACTTAGCTCTGCCAGCACAGCGCACCAGCCACGGGCTCTATAAGCAGAGGCCCTCGGAGGGCTTTAGTTACTGAACAGCTCAGTCTGTCCCTCAATAGGTGAATCTAAATGAGCAGGATAGAAATCTGAATAAGACTATAAGAGGGTGAATCACAGGCAATGGAAATTTAAAATGTAGAGCTGGCAAGATGGCTCAGCAATTAAGAACGCCTACCACTCTTCCAGAGGACCCAAGTTCAGTTCCTTCCTAGCAGTCACATCAAATAACTCACAACTGCCTACTCCAACTCCAGGAGTATCCATGCCATCTTCTAGTCTCCCTGTGCAACCACACACATGCACACATACTAACACACACACACACACACACACACACAGGAACACTC